TGGAATTCTTCAACTGCTTGATGTAGGCAATAGTCGAATGGACACGTCGTGGAAGTAGTATATGTACTCGTGTCTTGTGTCGCTATTCCAAATGGATATCCGTCTTTATTAAGTTGTGTACTGCTGCCTGAGACACGTGGACGGTTTTTGCTACTGATTTTTCTATTCGTGGATTTACACTCGTCACAAACGCTACACTTTGCTAACCACTGCAGAGGTGCGACTTGTTACAAGGTTTTTTTTTAGTGGTTCTGTTGTCCCAAGATAATCCATATGTCTTTGTTTTCCCATGCCATTAACTATAAGTGATACCTCCATCTTGAAAATTCTTAATACCCGATATAAATACATCTTTGTGAAGCATCACACTAAGTATGAACGCCAAACAATGTCAAAAATTAGGTTCTGGTAAATTTCGTTCCACAGTGACTTTATATCAGCCGTGGTGGCTACGTAACTTTGCATGTTCACAATACATTTAATATAACGACCCTGGCAATGAACATTTTTACTTTATTATCACACGAAGATTGTGAAATAATTATCCCAGTTCACAGCAGTACAGCTGCTATTTTGGATGTAGAAATGTGCAATAAAAGAGGTATGAATAGTGGCACACAAGAAATCTGTTGTAGCACTTAACAATTCTGGCCATAGGAAGCGCCAGCAGTACATAATGTGCTTATCAGAAATGCTACAGGAAAAATCATATAAATGCTTTTATGCAGACAAAATCTACCATGAATCTGATACTGTATTACACAAAATTATTCCAATAAAAGGTGAAGCTACATTACACAAAACTGTTCAAATACAGAGATGAAGTTACAATACAACACAAAACTATACCAATAGAGAGATGAAGGTTTAATACTACACAAAACTGTCCAAATACAGAGATGAAGCTATAATACTACCCAAGACTGTTCCAATAGAAGGATGAAGGTATAATACTACACAAAACTGTTCAAATACAGAGATGAAGCTACAATACTACACAAACGTGTTCGAACACAGATATGAAGCTATAATACTACACAAACGTGTTCGAACACAGATATGAAGCTATAATACTACACAATAGTGTTCCAACACATAGATGAAGTTACAATACAACACA